TAGTTGCAGGATTCTGCCATTTCTGAGTCCGACTGGTGTCTTCACCCTTCTCTTGTGTTGTAATTAGTTTTGTTTGTTTTGGATCCTCATTGTAATATCTTTTTATTGAATGCATTGGGGCTTTGTCCTCTTATTTGGTTCAAACAAAAAAGAAAGTAACACGACTCATAATTGACCTATCAGTTAACTATGAACAATACAACTCAATTGATATGTGGGTTGAGAGCACTAGCGGAGGGAAGGGGACATGAGTGACAAAGCCTTAGCTTTTTATTTTTAAGGGCATGAGTGACAAGGCCTAGTTATTTGCAATGGTGATTTTACTTGCAGTTCAGGAAATTTTAAGATCATTTATTTAGATGATTTCTAGAACACTTTGAAGCCTTTGTCTGGTTTAATTAATGTCTAAAATTATCAAACTAGAAACCAATTGATGGCAAGTAGTGAATCAATTGAAATATATGTGTAAATTTTCTATGCAAATGAATCTAATTTTATTTTATAATTAGGTTTTGATTCTAAATATAGCATCAATTAGACCTGTCAATATTGGATCCGACCCAAACCCAACCCGAGATTTTCGGGTTTGGGTTGACCCGAACCCGAAGCGGGTCGGGTTCGGGTTGACCCGACGGGTTGTCGGGTCAACCCGAAAATCCGTTTAATTTCAAAAATTTGGATTCGGGTTGGGTTTTCAATAGTCCATGCAAAGAATGCACTCGGTAAGTAGCTTTTTATTATTTTTTTATATTAATGCTATACTTTTTGAATAATAACTTTCAAAATTAAATTGATGAATTTACATACTTATTTTAAAAATAAATATAATATTGTTGCATCCTAAAATATTCGTGGCAGTACAGAGTGATATATATTAGCGTCCTAGCTTTGTACGAAGATCTAACACACAAACATATAAGAGAATATGATTATAAGTAGGGTTTAGCGTTCATAAGGGATATCAGAGTTTTTACGCGGAAACTCTTGAAAAGGAGAAAAAACCACCGACAAAAATAATTTCTCTTTATATAAGCACGTCACATTATTATAACGCTAGGACGCTGATCAATTCACATTTTCAAATGACAAACTTCCGCCAGTCCGCCGACCACTGCCGAAATTCTTCCCGAGCCGATCGATTTGACTATAAGCACGTGACATAATTTGGAATTCGTTTGGTAATCCAAATTATAGTATTACATTAGCTTCCTAGTTTTGTACGAAGATCCAACACACAAACAGATAAGAGATTATTGTTATAAGTAGGGTTTAGCGTTCATAACAGACATTAGAGTTTTTACGCGGAAACCCTTGAAAAGGAGAAAAAACCACCGACAAAAATAATTTCTCTTTATATAAGCACGTCACATTATTATAACGCTAGGACGCTGATCAATTCACATTTTCAAATGACAAACTTCCGCCAGTCCGCCGACCACCGCCGAAATTCTTCCCGAGCCGATCGATTTGACTATAAGCACGTGACATAATTTGGAATTCGTTTGGTAATCCAAATTATAGTATTAACCTTCCAAAAGTGCTTTGAACCCTTTATTTGGGCTCATTTGAGCTTGGATTGGACTGATTTTGATATCGTTGGGTTCGTCTTTTTGAGGTGTTCAGCTCAACTATAGTTCGCTGAAATTGAAGATCATATGATCCTCATTTTAATTTTGAACCCTCAATCTCATATTTACATTAAGATTTGTGCTTGATCGAGACTATTTTTTTATGATTTATCAAATTATAAAAGACAAATTCCTTTTCATTTATTTTTTCTTAGTGCCAACTCATAAAAAAAATTAATTTATGATATAAATAACGTAACATTTTCTTATGAAAATAAGATAACATCATTTCATTAAATATAGCATTACGTCATAACTCATAACCTTAATAAAATAAAAATAAAATAAAATAAAAACTTCAATTACTGAGGGAAGTAATTTAACATCATTTTTACTTAAGAACTATATATTTGCTTTGATGATGAGGTTTTTATATATATTTTTATCTTTAATATTAATTTGTTTTCTTAAAGCTTTTTTCTTCAATAATTTCTATTTTTTTAACAATTTAAAAATAAATATGGATGTTTTTGAGAAAATTTTGTACACAATTTTCGTCCAAAAAATGACTATTTTTATTTAAAAAACGATCAAATTATTTGAATAAAATGAGTCATGTGAAAAGCAAAATATCATAGATTTATTAATCCAGACAAAGGCTAACGATGGCGTGCTTTAAGATTTTGTTGGGCCACGCAACCTTGTAAAGTTGGACATGGGCTGGGCGGCCTAGGAGACATTGTTAACTTGGCTAGGCCGGGCATTAAGTTTATATCCTCACGCCGATGGGAGTGTTTGATTAAACAAAGATGAAATTAAAGCTAGGGGTGTCAATATTTGACATGATCTGAAATTTGATACGGACCCAAATAAAAAAATTTCAGATTTGTGTCAACCCATTTTCCATACAGGCGGGGTTCGAGTTTGAGTTTCTGACATATTTATAAAATCGGGTTAGACTCAGATTGACATAGAAATTTGAAAATGACCCGAATTGACCCGTGTTGACCTACCCTAGTGTCCACTACCAACCCGCCCTAGTGTCTGCTGTCGAACCCGCCCATGTGTTTTGTTCTTGACTCGTGCTTGCACCACACTGGCGAAGTGGGCGCACCCTCCAATGCTCGCTTCTAAGCCCTCCCTTGTGCCCACTTGGAAGGTCGCAACTTGTCTGCATTGCGCCTGGATCTACTTGCAGTAGTGCTAGGGGTGTCAATTCAGGTCAACGGGTCAGATTCGAGTCGAACCCGCAGCTGACCCGAGGCTATTTGACCCGAGCCAAATGGGTCAGAAAATGTAACCCGGACCCGACTTGTCGGGTTGTCGAATTGACATGACCCAACATGAAATTGGGCCGCGGAAGGGGCGTGTGGGGACTGCGGTTGAGCGGGCGTGCCCTCATCACCTCGTGCCGCGTGGGCGTCCCGCGTCCGTGTAGACCTGAAGGCACTGAGGCACGGTTGGACTGTGGAGGTGTGCGCGTGGGAGTTTGGGGACTACCGACTGTAGAGGTCAGGAGGTGGGCAGTGGGTACGGGGGGAGTTGGGTCAAAGGGTCCGTTGGGAGTCTAGACCCGCGTTTTTGGCCAGGTTAGGGCTAACAGACCCAGACCCGGGTCAACTACGAGTTGATTTTGGATTTTTGGGTCAACCAAATCCCACCCATTTTTTAAACATGTCAAAAATTCTAAACCCAACCCCGACTTGTTTGCTAGACGGGTTGACCCTAACTCGAATTTTTTTGGGTCAGATTTTGGGTTGTGTCAAAAATTGACACCCTTAGTGCCCGCACTGCCCCCTTGTGCTCACGCTAGCGCCTTGCCCCCACGCCGCTTGTGTCCATTGTTCTATGGCCAATCTTGGTATTCATGGTTTTTGGGTTATCTCGGGTTGACCCAGAACCGAATTGGGCTTGGTTCAGGTTAAGGATGTTGACCCAAAACTATAACCGGTCGGGTTCGGATCAAGCCAAACATGCCTAAAAAGCCTGTTTTGAAACCCCTAACTAGAGCTAGGACTCTTGCTATAGGATTCAAGAGAGTTACACAACTCTCTTTGATTTGTTGGCTGAGAGTTTGACTCCAAACTAAAAGGTAATTGGCTCAAGTTTCATGTATGTGTTGTGTGTGCGTGTTTGGACGCTGCCCTTAATTTCTCACAAAAAAAAAAAGAAAAAAAAAAGTTCAAGAGAGCTCAAATATATGAAAAATATGAGAGGTCCAGCTAAATACCATTGTTAAAATATCTTTTGTTCGGTTGTGGTTGTAGATCATTGCCCTACCACTACAATAAGACCAAAACCCAACCACTCTCGACTAATGTCATTGGACCACCTTTCATCTGACTTAGATCTTCAACCATCATCATCAAATCATATTTTTTCAAACATCCTTATCAGATTACAATCTTTCAACCATATTGTCTGACTATGACCATCAAATCAAGATTGCATGACTACCATCATTCTGCCACTATCGCCTCCCTTACGATCATCTAACAAATACCGTCTGATTTTAATTATCAAACCACAACCATTATTTAAATGAGTTTGAGCTTGGGCCTTCAAAAATTTTAACCAATAAAGTTTATGTACTCAAGTCGAGCACAATAAAAAAAATTAACTTGATTAGTTAGATAATTGATTCAATTCAACTCGTTCATGTCGGACCACCTTACCCAAAATTTCCCTATATTAGACATTCAACATTAGGGGTGTCAAAACAGGTCGCGGGTCAGGTTCGAGTCGAACCCGAGCTGACCAGGGTCTAAATAAGTCAACATGAACTAGACCCGATTTTATAAACCATTTAAGATTTTCAACCCGGACCCGACCCACACGGGTTACATGGTTGACCCGAACCAACCCGCAAACTCGATTACGAACAGGCTAGGCGAGGCCAGGCTGGTCGAGGTGGTGTCGGTGCGGCCCGTGCGTGCGGCCATGCAGGGTTGACATTGAATCGTCGACTCGACCAATCATGAGCATGGAATCATGTAGGTGAACTGCGGATCACGGAGGAGCAGACCGACATATATGTGGCCATGCCGCGTGCGGGGATGGTAGATGTCTGGCCTGACATGATCAGGTTGAAGCTGACGGTAGGCGAGACGACATCCATTCCCTTTGAAAAATCTCAGCAACGTCCAATCTGACAATCCCTCGATTCCCTCCCAAGTGGAAAAATTAAAAACGGGCGGAGCAATCTCGGGTCATATTTGATTGCATCCAGGTCATTTCGGGTCAATTTCGAGTTTCCGGGTTGACCCGAATCAGTTTAAATGGGTCAAAAATTGAAACATGAATCCGACCCATTTATTAAACGGTAGACTCTAATACAAAATTTTTAGATCAGAATCAGATCGGGTCGGATCATATAAAAAATTGACACCCTATTCTGTACTATATTAATATATTGGTTCCATGATTGGGAATTTCATTTCTTGTGTCTAGTTGTCCGGTTGTTGTATCACGCCGATAGGAGAAACCAAAAAACGCCGCATTAGGGTCTCTCCAGCGATCGACAGACAATTGCAGAATTTGTTTGGTTTTTTTGTGTTCCTCGTCCGCTTCTCCTTCTCTCCTGCTTATACTGGTGAGCTTCTAGGGTTAGGATCCCGAGATGCCTGTCTACGGCACTATCCCGACGGCGCCGTGGCCTGAGCCGGGTGCCTCAACCTCCCGCACCAACGAGCTTATTTCCCGCGCAAAGGAACGCGGCAAGGCCCTGATCGCTACTCGACGGCCATGGCGTGAGCTCGCTGACCCAATGGCCTTGGCCTTGCCCCACTCTTACAGTGAGGTCACGACCCGCCATCGCTGCAACCTCTCTTACTTCCGCTTCAACTATGCCATCATCGTCCTCCTTGTGCTTTTCCTCAGCCTCCTATGGCATCCGATCTCCATGATCGTCTTCATCGCCATCTTTGCTGCCTGGTTATTCCTTTATTTCTTCCGCGATGACCCCCTAGTCTTCTTTCACCGCACCATTGACGATCGCCTTGTCCTCGCCACGCTATCCGTCGTTACGGTGGTAGCCCTGGTATTAACAGGTGTTGGGCTCAATGTCCTCGTCTCTCTGATCATAGGGTTTGTGCTGATTAGTGTGCATGCCGTTTTTCGGGCTACAGACGATCACTTTCTTGATGAACAAGAAGCTGAGGATAGGGGTTTGTTATCCGTAGTTGGAAGTACCACAGGCCAGAACTATGCTGGAGGAATTTGAATATTCTTCTTGATTTTGGTAGAGGCTGGATTATTATTGATTCGTTGATGTTGGAAGGTCGGTCAGCGATGTTGTTTGCTTGAGAGTTGAGACCTTGGGATGGTTTTGTTTGCTTGATCGGTAACCCCACAGGCTAGAAGGCGATTTCTTGCACCAGTTTATGCAGAAATTGTTACTGGTTTTTATCCAAATAAGTCTGTATGTTTTTTTGCTCTAACATATCCTTGTTGGCTGTGCAATTTTTTTAGGGATTTAGTAGATGTTTTTTGTATTCGTCGTTTTTGTTGATCGCTCGCCCGCAAAGCACACCTTCTTCTAAATGCTCATTATCTTTGTTGGTCAGTAAATTCCAATAAGCTGGAGTGTATTATTGTATTATTAAAACTTTTTTGGTTTTTTATTTCTATGATGGAATACATTCTTTTCTGTTATGTTGCAAAATTTAAATGGTATCAATTAATGTGTCTGTTTATTTGGTTGGTTTTATCGTTTGATTGGTTTGAATAAACGTCAACTTGTTACATACGTTTTGAAAATCGCATGAAATCTCTAAATCTTGGAATGATTTCCCTGATGGTTTATTATGTAGTATGTTACTATGTTCTCTTATTAGAGGTACATGTGCTTCTCATGTTTTCAAGAAAAATAATAGTACATGAGTTACCCTGTATTTGCACGGCTCAATTAGATGAGGTGGCCAAACAAAAAAACGACCAACTTCTTTCGATCACCAGGACTCATTTTTCAAAAAAATATTTCAAAATAATATTGAGGGGGAAGTTATTTTAACAGTTGATCAAATCATAAACTAGTTATCTATATAAGGGTCCTTGGGTTTAAGAATTATTTCAAGTCTTTTGGCAAATTCTTTCATTACTTCAACAACTCAATTAACCTTGTTCCTAAGATTTTTGAAAGTGTTGCTTTTGTCCATACACATCCTTAAAACAAAAATAATGATCAAAGAGCAATTTAATTTGTTTTTATTGGCTACCCTTCCACTCAAAAAGTATAATGCTACTATCTCCCATGAAAATTCTGTATGTGTTTGTTAATGTCTGTTTCTTCTAGATTGCCTTTCCTTATTAGTCATCCCAAGTTCCCAACAAACAACACCACTCTAAAACGCTCCTACACATGTCAAGCTTATACCAAAATCATCTTTTGCTTAGCCATTTTAGGTTTTCTCGGGGAGAAGGCCTCTCAATCGATGAAAGTTCAATAAGCTGAATTAATCCTAGGCACGTAACTTGATGAGGGAACTATTAAGCTTGTAAACAACGATACTTCAACTGCACACCTTTTACACTTGTTCTTATCATTATCAATCCTTCCTCACTAGTTTCCATACTATTTGTTTCTCTAAAATCATGTCTGAGGCTTTAAAGAATGAAATTATAATAATGTTATGAGAGAAGAAATATAGGTATTTCCAAAGATAGAACATGGAAATTGATAACACTATCAAAAGGAAAAAAAAAACTAATAGGGTGTAAATGTGTTTTCTTTGTAAAGTACAAACCCAATTGCTCATTAGAAAGATAAAAAAGCTAGACTTGTGGTGAAAGGCTACATTCAAAGTTTCAAACATATGGATTGAATGCCCCTTACTCTTGTTCTTATCATTACCAATCCTTCTTTCCTAGCCTCTATACTATTTCCTTATCTTAAATCATCTTTGAGGCTTTATATAATGAAAATTAAAATAATGCTGTGAGAGAAGAAAAATATGCCCTTCAAAAGACAAAACATGAGAATTGATGATGCCATCAAAATGAAAGAAGCAAATAGGGTGTAGATATGTTTTTACTATAAAGTACAAGTTTGATGGATCATTAGAAAGATATAAAGCTTGACTAGTAGTAAAAGGCGATACTCAAATACATGAAATTGATAATCTTGAAACTTTTTCTTTTGTTCCTAAAATAAATGTTCGAGATTTTTTGTTATTAATAGCTAGCAAGGGTTGTAAAATACAACAATTCAATATGAACCTCTCCTCTCTTCTTATACAGTGGTTACTTTAGTGAAGGAGGCATGCATGGAGATTTCACCAGGATTTGGCTCAAACACAACATAAAAGTTATATAAATTAAAGAGGCATTATATGGATTGAAGTTATCTTCAAGACTATGGTTCGAGAGGTTTACCAATGTAATATGTGCCATGGGATACAAATAGGGTTAAGGTGATCATACACTATTTGTGAAACACATTGCGTCAAGGGTGTCTCCATGCCATTAGTTTATATTGGCGTGACATCGTAACAAGTGGTGACTTTAAAGACATGGAAACTTTAAAGAAGATGTTCAAAAATTTAAAGTTAAAGAATTAGGTTAGCTAATGTACTTTAACAACATTGAGGTTACTCATTCTCGACATGATACTTTATATCATAATGGAAATACATAGCAACTCTTTTGAAAAAACCATGTAACTGTGCGTGTTAAGAGTCTCATGGAATCTAATCATAAACTTAGTGATGCTCCAAACGACAACCATTAAAAAAAAAAATCTACTATTGAAGGCTTATCTACTTATCACATATTAGACCTAACATTACATACGATGACGGTGTGGTAGGTCAATTCATTCATAATCCCAAAGAATCAAAACTTAGGGATGTAAATTGAATTTTTTAATATATGAAAGGAACTTGATGGACCGGTTCACCCGGTCCATCCTAGACCCGTGCGGGTCTATAGGAGGCGGGCGGACCGGCTGGACAAAAAAGGGGCCCACCCACTTAAGTGGGGGTAATTTGGGGATGTGAGGGACTTTTGGATTGTATGAAAGGGGCCATTATGGTTTAAGGGGCCCACCCACTTAAGTGGGGGTAATTTGGGGATGTGAGGGACTTTTGGATTGTATGAAAGGGGCCATTAGGGTTTTATTGGGGGCATTATGAAAAGTGTATTCTCATATATGATTGATAGGAGATTAACTTCAAAATATTGCACAGTCTTAAGAGGCATATTCATGACTTGGAGAAATAAAAAATAAAATGTAGTGGTAAGGTCTAGCATAGTAGTTGAATTTAGAGGTGTGACACTAATAATCTGCAAACTATTATGGTTGCATTATTATCCATGAAGATTTAAAGATTGACTGAAAAATTCCTATGAGGACAACTTGTTAGCTAGAAATATTGCACATAATTCTATTCAACATTCCCAAACAAAATATATTGAAGTGAATAGGAATTTTATAAAGCAGAAGCTCGATGATTGTTTAATTTGCACTTCATTTGCAACCATAGATAGCCAACTTGTAGATGTTCTTACCAAAGGATTATTTGGAAAATGTTTAAAAAAATGACATGCAAGTTTGGAATGGACAACATTCATTCATTTCCTTGCTGAGAGTATGTGTAAAATTCACCCTCCATCAATTCCACCTCCATTAATGTTCCATCAATTATAGCAATCCTCCACCTTCTATATTCACTCATTTTATCACAATGATATGTGGGATTAATATTTCCACCTCATCGATTCATGGAATATTGTAACTATTCTATAATTATTATTGTGCCTGCTTATCAATCCGTAGATTATTATAGTTATTTTTCTATGATTTTATATGTTTTGTATTAAAAGCTTTTCGATGATTGTATAAATTTTATATAAATATTAAAATGAGATGCTTAACTAATTTTCTACTGTTCTTATCAGTTTTAATGACAAAATATAAACTTTTTTTGTTTTCTAGCCTTATGTGGAATTTCTTAAGTGGTGTCCCAAAAAAAGCAAGTCAAATACGTGGCATGCTGTTTGAAGGGAGGCTGCAACTGTTACAAACCCATCGAAGGGAAGGTAGGGGTCCAGTATGTTGTTGGTTCAGAATGAAACAATTACTCCCGGGACATTTCTTATCCATCGATTTTGAACAAATGTTGTACTTAAAGTATCAACACCATTCTCAAAACCAACGTTCAATGAGTGAATATATTAAGTTTTACCGACTGAGTGCTTGAAATAATCTTTAGGAATCTGAAAACCAACATGTTGCAAGGTATATTGGGGATTTAAATAAGCTATTTAGGATAAGCTCAATCTTAACTGCATCTGGACTCTATCATAAGCTGTTAATTTTGCATCGAAAGCTGAAATGCAACTATTAAGGCACTATCGTGGCTACTCTTCCTGCAAGCAATTTAACGAACCATACATCGACCCCGTGAAAGGCAATACTCCTACATCCAAACTTTAGCAGGCTCATCATCCATCTCCCAGTAATACACTGAACCAGAAACACCACTACAGAACCTCAAGGCCAACTTAAAACAAAGACTCTAGTTAGAGACAATCCATATACCAAACCCACAACCTTAAAATACTTTAGATGCTTCCAACCTGGACACAAATCTAACGAGTGTTCAAATCGCCATTGAGTTCAACTTTTAGAGTGGGAAAACCACAATACTGAAAAGGAGTAGGCTGTGGTAAAGCAGGAATCAGAAATGACAATTGAAGATTTACATGGTGACGAGGGAGAACCTGTAGTGTGCCACTTACAAAAATTATTATTGGCAACCCGACAACCAATTCCTTCCCAAGGAAATGCCTTATTTAGGACTCATTGTACTATCAATAGAAAAATATGAGATTTGTTAATTGATAGTGGATGCACATAGTACGTCATTTCTTGCTTCACTGTTCAAGCCTTGCAATTGAAAACCACTAAGAACCCACCCTCATCCCTATAGAATTAGTTAAGTCAAAAAGAGTCTGGAGATAGTGGTGTCTGATATGTGCCGTGTTACATTTTTAATTGGTAAACATTATGTGTGTGAAGTTCTTTGTGATGTACTGGACATGGATGCCTGTCATCTCATTTTGGGTCGACCCCAATAGTTTGACATGGATGCGTTTTATAACTGTTGGACGAATGTTTATACATTTGATTAGGAAGGTCAAAAGCTGCGATTTCTTCCATAGTTCAATGAATCAACTACCCGATTTGAGAAGAGTCAAATTGCTTCTTATGTTCTTTCAAGTAAGATACTCTTACAATCTTGGCAAGACAAAAATTCCAACATTGCATTGGTTGTATCCAACAACAACAATCCTATAACCCAAGCAGACTATTTGTTAGAAATGTAGAAATTGCTGACAAGATTTGCTGATGTTGTTCTCTGGAACTATTGTCACATCTGCCACCATTACACTCTTTACAACACCAAATTGAGTTTATTCCTGGTGCTACCCTTCCCAACCTTCCGTATTACCAAATGAGCCCCAAAGACCACTCAATCCGGCAGGAAATAGTTGAAGACTTGCTGAAAAAACAATTAATTCAATCTAGTCTGAGCTCATGTGTAGTATCTGCATTGATTGTTTCTAAAAATGATGGACAATGGCGCATGTGCATCGACAGTCGAGCAATCAATAAGATAATAATAAAATGTAGATTTCCTATCCCTAGATTTTCGGATGTGCTGGATCGATTGACGGGAGC